CTGTCCCTCAGACCGTTGGAGGGCCGGACTATAGTTTAAAAAAAAACTGAACAAATTCCTATGCACACTGCACATACCTTATTTTGAAGTAAAAAAACAAAACGGGAACAAATACAATATTTGTATTTGCATGTGGCCCGCGGGCCGTAGTTTGAGGACCCCTGCTTTATACCTTTAAAGTCATGTGTGCCAAATAGCTTTCCATCTGACAAATATTTATAATATCAATAATAATAGGCACAATTTATTGAGCCCTTGGTGCCTCCTGCCACATCATGGTAAGGACTCATGCATGTTCTCTCTCTCTTAATCTCTACAACAACCCTTTGAGGTAAGCATTACAGATAAGGAAAATGAGGCTCAGAGAGCTTAAGTAAATTGCCCAACTTGCACAGCCAGGATTTAAACCCAGGTCTTTCTGAATATAGTACCTGCTACATCCTACTGACTATATGCCTATTCACAAGGCAATGAGTGTAAAACTGAATAGAACATAGTCTTTTCCCTGCCTTTCAGGGGCTCCCAGTCGAAGGGTAAGCTAGTTTTTTAGACAAGCCCTGGTAAATAGTACCAAAGCCACAGCATGGTTGCCTCGTCCTAAAGAGGGAATAGTGACAGTGTAGGCAGGGGAAGGTACCTGCTTCTATGCTCCTTAATAAATATGAATAATAGATGGACTGAGGAGTAGCAACTGATGGAATAGATGCCCAGAGTACAGGAACAAGGTCTCAGGAGCTTTTGATAAGGGGAGACAAGAGAAGAATAGTAGGGGCTTCGAGATATTATCAACATTACCAAAGAGGAAAAAATCTTCCAAAAAGGAAGATAAAATTATGTAGTTAATTATAGATTTACTAAGCAAATGAAAACATATACCAAGTTTGATTTATCATCTGTAATGGGGATAATACCAGCCTTACTAGGTTTTTGAGAGAATTAAATGAGATAATGCACACTAAAGTATTATTAACATAGCACCTAGAACAGCAGTTCTCAACCTGTGGGTCGCGACCCCTTTGGGGGTCGAACGACCCTTTCACAGGGGTCGCCTAAGACCATCGGAAAACACATATATGATTACATATTGTTTTTGTGATTAATCACTATGCTTTAATTATGTTCAATTTGTAACAATGAAAATACATCCTGCATATCAGATATTTACATTACTATTCATAACAGTAGCAAAATTACAGTTATGAAGTAGCAACGAAAATAATTTTATGGTTGGGGGTCACCACAACATGAGGAACTGTATTAAAGGGTCGCGGCATTAGGAAGGTTGAGAACCACTGACCTAGAACATAGTATGGAATCATTATATTTATCCCATTGTTGTTACTATTATACTCATTGACCAAACCAGTGACAGTGGTGGCACCCACTGGTCTTTGGGAAAGTGATAGGAGAGGGAAATGCTTCATATACATCATTATGCCAAAGGCTATGCATTAGCTTTTTGCTGCTTGTAAGACAAAGCCGCTCTGTTCAATTTAATTTGAAATTGTTTTTCTAGGCTTTCATTTCCTCTCTCCCCATACACATAGTGTCCTAGAACAGTCATTTGACTCCAGATAGCCATTTTCATTACAACCTCTAATTCCCTCTTTGCCAAGAGGTTTGTGTATCCACTACAAGATGGTATGGTTATCCCAACACCAACTCTTCTGTCTGTTCCATCAGTATTGCACATTGGCCTGACTGACCCAGCTCCAACAGGTCACCTGTGCACCCTGCATGAATTAACTCCATTGATGTTGTCTGCTCCCATTGTAGCTAATGGCACTGACTCAGCCTTCCATGTGCTTGCTGCTAAGCCAGCCCATACTGCTCTAGCATCCGTAGCAATGCCTGTGCGTGAAACCAACCCTTGGGCGCATGCCCTTGATGCTGTTAACAAGGGAATTGCAGCCACACATTCGGGTAAGGTGGCCACAGATGGTGGTGAGGATTCTGGGATCAGCTAAGTGACCCCGGTTTGAAAATCAGCCATTTACCTGAGTAGGAACCAGGGAGAAGTGCTTTTAGGAAAAGTATATTCTCTCCTGGAAATAAACTACTATTAAGAAAGGATGGAGAAGGAGAAAGAACTGAAGAGGTTAAATTGACAGTTCTTAAGACTATGGAACAGAACCACCCATAGAACTTTCATGAAGTACAGATTCCTGGGCCTACCCTGAGGGGGTCTGTCACTGGATTTGGAAATAGGTAGATAAGCCTATAGGATGAGGGGACCCTGCCTCCTATAATGGAAGGCCCAAAAACAAGAGCTATAAAAAACACTTCATTTTTGCTTTTCTATACTTTCTAGTTTTTCTATAATGAACATTTAACCATAAAACCAAGAGAATTTTAAACAGGAAAGGCAACATGTGTCAGGAAGCCAGGCAGGGGTCATGAGGTACAGAACCAAGTATTTTCTCTTCGTTCTGTTAGAGTAGGTGAATCACCTTGGGCCCTTTGCGCATGTGCAAGGTGGTTTCTGTACCATAGATGAGCCACAGCATCAGGGAAGGGTTTCCTGTGCCAGCCAGCTGCCTGGTTCAGTGCAGTTGAGCCATATCTAGACAGCTCCTCAATGTGGCTGAGACAGCAGCATGATCTGACACATGCTGCCACAAAACTCCTCTGCTAGTAACAGATTATTCCACTAGAGGGATTTGCTCCACGTTAGGATCATTCAAATAACCAAGATCATCAGGTGAAGAAAAACACTCCGAAAGACTGACTCTTTTCTCTCTCTCATGTTGGTTCCAGGGACCGAGTGGGGTCAATCTTCTGGTGCTGCCTCTCCAGGTCTCTTCCAGGCTGGTCACAGACGTACTCCCTCTGAGGCTGACCGCTGGTTAGAAGAGGTGTCCAAGAGCGTCCGGGCTCAGCAGCCCCCAACCTCAGCTGTCCCACTGCAGCCAGTCCTCCAGCCGCCTCCACCCACTGCCATCTCCCAGCCAGCGCCACCTTTCCAAGGGAATGCATTCCTCACCTCTCAGCCTATGCCAGTGGGTGCAGTCCCGCCCCTACAGCCAGCCTTTATCCCTGCCCAGGCCTATCCTGTGGCCAATGGGATGCCCTATCCAGCCCCTAATGTGCCTGTGGTGGGCATCACTCCCTCCCAGATGGTAGCCAATGTGTTTGGCACTGCAGGCCACCCTCAGCCGGCCCATCCCCATCAGTCTCCCAGCCTGGTCAAGCAGCAGACATTCCCTCAGTATGAGACAAGCAGTGCTTGTGCCAGTCCCTTCTTTAAGCCTCCTGCTGAGCACTTCAATGGTTCTGCAGCTTTCAATGGTGTAGACGATGGTAGGTTGGCCTCAGGAGACAAGCACACAGAGGTTCCTATAGGCACTTGCCCCGTGGATCCTTTCGAAGCCCAGTGGGCTGCATTAGAGAGCAAGTCCAAGCAGCGTACTAACCCCTCCCCCACCAACCCCTTCTCCAGTGACCTACAGAAGACGTTTGAAATTGAACTTTGAGCAGTCCCATGGCTTATGTATTTTGTCTGTACTTAGGCAAGGGCAGGGGGAGGGTGAAGGTCAAAGGAGCAAAGGAGACTTTGTGTTCCCAATAGCACACTTTTCACTAATCCCAAAGGTCCCAAGGAGTATGTCCAGGTGCGGAGTGCTGTGTGGGGTGATTTTTGAAAAAAGTGAGAAAACCATTCCTAGAGAAGAGCTGTCCTGTTAGGCTAAAGAAGTCAAGAAAATGTTGCCCTTTGTCCCCCTCCTGCCTCAGCCCCTTACAAATCTCTGACAACAGAGAGGCAGATGTATCTGAACAGGAATCTGTATTCAAAGCACATTTAATGGAATATAGAACACAACGGGAAGCAAAACGATCTCCCTTTTTTTTCAGGCCATGCACCTGCCTCCTCTCAATACTGGCCCATCTTAGAGATTGAGAATAGGGTGGCCTATGCTTGGGCCGAGGACAAGAGGCAGGCGGTGCTGCCAGAATCCCAGGAGGGCGCATCAGCAGCTGCCCAGCAGAGCTATATTTTAGGGGTAAAGTTGAGCTTCCATTTTGAGTAAGAATAAATATTATAAATATATATCAAAAAAGCCAAATCTTTATTTTTATGCATTTAGAATATTTTAAATAGTTCTCAATATTAAAAAGTTGTATAAGTTGTAAGTAATCTTGCCAAAGGTAAAAGGGTTAGCTGTAAGAAATTGTACATAAGATTGATTTATCGTTGATTTCTACTGAAGTAAAAGGGGAAAAGCTGGAGGTGCAGACCGGATCCCTCGCTTATTTGGTATCAGTCATTGTAAGTAGAGTAGCACATTGCAACAACAATCATGCTTATGACCAATACAGTCACTAGGTTGTAGTTTAAATAAAGAAAATGAAAGAGTAGTATTGTCCTGGTTTTAAACCTATGGTGAAATTCTAATATTATTTTAATGGAATCAGTCTAAATATGCTCTATAGAGAATATGTATTTTCTTTTATATATTGCTGCAGTTTCCTTATGTTAATCCTTTACTTGTTTTAACACTAAGGTGACAATGACATCATATGCATAGACTGGAACGCAGGTTATTCTGTTGGTTTGTCATGTGGGTCTTGGTGGGTTTTGTTTTGTCCTTTAAGTGTGTTCCCATGAGTTTTGTGGGGATGGAGTTTCTGGTTTTATTAGGTGTGTGTGTGTCTCCGTGTGTGTCCTCGTCCCCCTCCCTGTGGACAGAACATCCCGTTGCCAGTTGCAGCCACTTGACCTCTGGTAACAACGTGAGATCCCATCTCATTTTTACTTTTGAACGTTGGCCTTACAATCAAATGTACGTTATATATATTTGTACTGATGAGAATTTATAATCTGCTTTAACAAAAATAAATGTTCGTGGTAGAAGCTTTTGCCCATAAAGGGCTGTTCTTTCCCCTTTTCTTTATTAGCAGTTGACTTAGTTCTTTCAGGTCTTGTTCCCTCTCTCCATTCTGCTGTTGCTGCAGCTCTCTAGTTTGGTGGCTAGAAAATCTTTTATTTTCTAATATATTCTTTTATTATTATTTTTCAGAGAGAGGAAAGGAGAAAGAGAGAAAAACATCAATTGATCAGTTGCTTCCCACACGCGCAACCCTCTGGTGTGCGGGCAACACTCCAATTCTCACCGGCCAGGGCTCTGGTATATTCTTATAGTTCATATTTGTATTCATTCTTTAGGCTTTGGTTGATCCTAAATGCATCTCTGACATCCTATTCTTGCTGCCTAAAGTGTGGTCTGGACAACAGCATGGACTTCACCTAGGAGCTGGTTAGAGATACAGAATCTCAGCTCCCCACCCTCCTCCAGACCTTGTAAGCAGAATCTGCATTTGAGCAAGATTCACAATCAGATGTCCAGGGCTGGAGCAGTGAGTCTCAACCTTGGATATGTATCAGAATCACTTGGGGAGCATTTAAAATCCTCATGGCTGGGCAGTACTCTAGACCAATTAAATTCAAATCTCTGGAGAGTGGAACCCCTGGTTCTGTTTTTTAAAGGCTCCCACTGTGGAAGAGGGTTGAGGACCAGTGGTTTAGATTGAGTTTTACTCTCACCTTGAACTTCAGCCCACTAGTCTGTGACTAGTTCTAAGAAGAGCTAGCTAACCTCAAACTTACCTTCTGGAAATATGTTACCAATGGGCCAAATACTGGTTTAATTAAAGAACTGGGGCGTCCAAGAAAATTAGAAATTTTCTAATTTCTATAGCAAAACCAGCCATGGTAAATCAAAGGGAATGGTCCCTAATATTTTTAAATGGAAAGAAAAGATCTGTGCCTTGGCCCATGATAGGTAGACTAATAAGTATCCCTCACTCAGCCAGCATGATCATGATGAATAAAACCTTTCCCTTAGCACCTGTCTTTCCTGTGTCTCTGAATAACCTGTGTCACTAGGCCCAGCCAGCCCTCTGGAGGGTTTGTAAAAAGTTAAGTGGAAAGGGACTAAGAAGCCACATTGAATCCAGGGCTCCCTCTTTAGCAGCAAGGAATTGGAAGTCCTGAGATGCAGAATGATTTCCACCAACTCAAACCATTTCTGAAGCCACTTTCTTATTATTACATTGCCCTCCCCTCCATTGGGACCACCATCTTGCTGTTGCTGGTTTCTTTAAATATATATATTTTTAATTTACTTCAGAGAGAGGGAAGGAAAGGGAGGCAGAGATAGAAACATTAATGGTGAGAGGGAATCATTGATCGGTTGCTTCCTGTACACCTCCTACTGGGGATCAAGCCTGCAACCCGGGCATGTGCCCTGACCGGGAATCGAACCCTGACCTCCTAGTTCATGGGTTGATGCTCAACCACTGGGCCACACTGGCCAGGCTGCTGTTTTTAATAATAGACTGGCTTTTATCTGGCAGCAAACACTTTGATTCAGATTCCTACTCGAGAAGGAGCGGCTCCTTGTTGGTCTCAGTACAGAGCAGGGCCGTCGATCAGCTCCATACAGGTGTAAGGCGGTCCTCACAGCCAGCTCTTCCTGTTGGCCTCAGGAGGAGGGCTTCCGGCTCCAGCTTTCCGATGAAAGTAAGCAGCTTTTCCAGTTCTTTCATGCTCAGATAATAATGCAACTGCTACCCTTTCATACTAAATCCCTAGGTGAGCCTTACCTCATAGTTCACTTTCCTGAGAGCTTTCACCAATGTTATGCTGTTAACCATATGCACAGATGGGCTTGAAGCTGGTTGCTACTTACTACCTGGAAGGTTGAGAGAGGGACTAGAGCACAGGCCACTGTTTGACCCTAGATGAGATCTAGTTCTAGCAAAGCATCCTTCCCTGTCACAGCGGGAGTTAGGTAGGTGTTAACTAAAATAGTTATGCACCTCCCTATCCAGCTTCACATGAAGTGAGAACCCTGGTAGCTCATTTTAAAACACAGTGAACTGCTCCTGTGTACCAGAAATTATAGAGGGAAGTTGTAAAGTAAAGCATATCCTAATCCAAACAGGTTTCTTTCCGTCATGTCAGAGATGCTGATCTGGCCTCTGCTGAGGCTAAACACTGGGTGGGTGGGGTGGGGTGGGGAGCAGTGTCTCCGAAGATAACTCCCTTGGCAGCCACAGAGGGGGGAGCGAGAGTCTCCCTGCCTTTCTCCCCAGCCCTACAGGTTGTTTCAGAACTGGGGCTGGAGCCGGCCTTCATCCCTGCTGCCAGACTGGCTGTGCATGAGGCTGGGCACGGGAACAGCTGGCACAGCAGAAGCTGGAGTAATACTCATTGCCACAGAGCTGGGCCTGCAGGATGAGCTCACAGTTGGCCAGCTCCGGCTGATCCATGCAATCCCTGCCGGGGTCCCTCGGCTGGGCGGCCAGTGCTGCAAAACAACAAGGGAGAAAGAAAGGGTAAGGAAGCCCTGTGCGCTGAAGATTCTCACCATTTCATTTCCTTAAAAGTGGCACTGTGGCTGTCAGATTCCCCCCAAAATGCAGTTGCTCTGTAACCTTTCAACACCTGTATGTACAACTACAGGAGGGATCACAATTTCCACCCATTCTTTTTTTTTCTTCAATTACAGTTGACATACAATATTATATTCGCTTCAGGTGTGCAACATAGTGATTACACATTCATATAACTCAGTGGTTCCCAAACTTATTTGGCCTACCACCCCCTTTCCAGAAAAAATATTACTCAGCCCCTGGAAATTAATTTTTTTTTAATTTTAATAGCAGTTACTCATCACCCCCAAATGCACCTGTGGCCATCACCACCCCCCTGGATCGCTGCAGCGCCCACTTTGGGAATCACTGATATAACTTACAGAGTCTCGATAAGTCTAGTTCCCATCTAAACCATGCATAGTTATTACAGTATTACTGACTATATATTCCCTATGCTGTACTTTACATTTCTGTGACTGTTTTTATAACTGCAATTTGTATACCTTAATCCCTTCCCCTTTTTCACCCATCCTCCTAAACTCTCTCCCCTTTGGAAATCATCAGTTTGTTCTCTGTATCTGAGTTTCTGTTTTGTTCATTTTTTTTTTCAGATTCCACATGTAAGTGAAATCATATAATATTTGTCTTTCTCAGTCTCACTTGTTTCGCTTAACATAATACCCTCTGGGTCCATCCATATTGTTGCAAATGGCAAGATTTCTTTTTTTATGGCTGAGTAATATTCCATTTTATATATATGTACCTCATCTTTATAAAATAATTTAGCGATAGATACTTAGGTTGCTTCCATATCTTGGCTACTAAAAATGCTACAATGAACATAGGAATGCATATGTCTTTTCAAATTTGTGTTTTGGATTTCTTCAGATAAATACCCAGAATTGGAATTGTTGGGTCATATGGCAGTTGTATTTTTAATTTTTGAGGAACCTCCATACTGTTTTCCATAGTGGCTGTACCAATCTGCATTCCCACCAACAGTGCATGAGGGTTCCCTTTTCTTCACATCTTCGATAACACTTGTTGATTTATTGGAGATAGACATTCTGACAGGTATGAAGTGATATCTCATTGTGATTTTAATTTATATTTCCCTGATGGTTAGTAATGTTGAGCATCTTTTCATATGTCTATTGGTCACCTGTATATCCTCTGTGGAGAAATGTCTGTTTAGGACCTTTGCCCTTCTTTAATTTCGGGGTTTTTTGGTGTTAAGTTTTGTGAGTTCCTCATGTATTTTGGATATTAACCCTTTATTGGATGTCTCAATGAATATCTTCTCCCATTCAGTAGGTTGTCTTTTCAGGTTTTTTATTTTTGTTTTGTTAATCCTCACCCGAGGATATTTTTCCATTGATTTTTTTTTTTTTTTTAAGAGAGAGAGAGAGTGGGAGGGAGGGGAAGAGACAGAGAAACATCAATGTGAGATTGGTTGCCTCCCACATGTGCCCCATCCAGGGCCGGGGAACAAGGCTGCAACCGAGGTATGTGCCCTTGACCAGAATTGAACCCATGACCCTTCAGTCCACAGGCCAATGCTCTACCCACTGAGCAAAACTGGCTAGGGCTCTATTGTTTAAAACTCTATTTTATTTATTTGCATTCTGATCTTTATTGTTTCCTCCCTTCTCACTTTGGGCTTGCTTTGTTCTTTTTTCTAGTTCCTTTACGTACAAGGTTTGTTTGAGCTTTTTATTGTTTTTTGAAGTAGGCCTGTATTACTATTTCTCTTTCTCTTAAAACTGCTTTGGCTGTGTCCCATAGATTTTGGGTCATTGTGTTTTCATTTACGTTTGTCTCAAGGTATCTTTTAATTTCTCCCTTGATCTCATTGTTAACCCATTCATTGTTTAATAGCATGTTATTTAGCCTTCATGTGTTTTTGTCTTTTTCAGTTTTCTTGTTTTGATTTCTAGTTTAATACCATTGTGATTGGAAAAGATGCTTGATATGATTTCAGTTTTCTTAATTTATTGAGACTTCTTTTATGGCTTAACATGTTGGCTATCCTGGAAAATGTTCTGTGTGCACTTGAAAAGAATATATATTCTGCTCTAAGGTGAAATGTCCTAAAAATGTCAATTAAATCCATCTGGTCTAATGTGTCATTTATAATTTCTTGTTGGATTAATCCCTTTATCATTATGAAATGCCCTTCTTTGTCTCTTGTTACAGCCCTTGTTTTAAAGTTGATCTTGTTTAAGTCTTGCTCCCCCAGCTTTTGGGATGGTGTCTATTAGCATGAAATATCTTCTTCCATCCCTTTACGTTGTGTGCTTGTTTTTCTAGCTGAAGTGGGTCCGTTGTGGGCAGCATACGTGTGGGTCATGTTTTTCTATCCATTCAGTCACCCAGTGTCTTTTGATTGGAGCATTTAGTCCATTTACATTTAAAGTAATTATTGATAGGTATGTAGTTATTGCCATGTTATTGTTTTTGTAGTTCTTCGCTGTTCCTTTCTTATTCTCTTGCTCTCTTACAAGTATATGTTGGTGACTTTCTGTAGTATCATGTTTGGATTCCCTTCTCTTTATTTCTTGCATATCTCTTGTAGATTTTTGGTTTGTGGTTACCATGTGCTTCCGTATGTTTATAGCAGTCTATTTTAAGTTGATGGTTGCTTAAAGTCAAACACATTCTAAAATGACTATAATTTTTACCCACCACCTCCACGTTTATGTTATGGTCATTTTTTACTTCCTTTGTGTGTGTCCCTTATTTTATTACTGTAATTACACATGATCTTCCTACTTCTGCTTTTAACCTTTGTACTAGCTGTTGATCCACTGCCTTAATACTGTTTGCCTTTGTCAGTGAGAATTTTTATTTCCTATGATAGCTTTGCAGGGTAATCTTGGTTATAAGTCTGTGCTTTTCATCACTTTGAATATTTCTTGCCAATCCCTTTTGACCTGTAAAATTTCTTGTGAGAAATCAGCTGACAGTCTTATGGGACCACCTTTGTAGGTAACTAACTGCATTTTTCTTGCTGCATTTAAGATTCTGTTTGTCGTTCACCTTTGGCATTTTAATTATAATGTGTCTTGGTGTGGCCTATCTTGTTTGGGACTCTGCACTTGTATGTCTATTTCCTTTGCCAGATTAGAGAAGTCCTTTGTCGTTATTTCTTCAAATAGATTTTCAATCCCTTGCTCTCTTCTGCTTCGGTACCCCTAGGATGCAAATGTTGGTTTATCCTGCCCTAGCCAGTTTTGCTCAGTGGATAGAGTGTTGGCCCTCGACTGAAGGGTCCTGAGTTCGATTCCGGTGAAGGGCATGTGCAGGAGGCAACCAATTGATGTGTCTGTTCCCCTCCCTTCCACTCTCTCAAAAAAAAAAAAATGTTGGTTTATCCCAAAGGTCCCTTACACAAATTTTTTTTCATTCTTTTTCTTGGTTTTTCACTATCTTATTTTCCAGATCTGATTCTGTGTTTCATCTAATCTGCTGTTGATTCCCTCTAATGTAGTCTTCACTTTTGACTGGTTCTTTTTTTTGTATGATTTCTATCTCTTTGTTGAGGTTCTTACTGAGTTCATCTATTCTTCCACTGAGCTCACTGAACATCCTTATAACCAGTGTTTGAACTCTTTATCTGGTGGATTGCTTGTGCCCATTTCATTTAGTTCTTTTTCTGGAGTTTTGTCCTGTTCTTTCATTTGGAACATGGCTGTCTCTTCATTTTGGCTGACTCCCTGTGTTTGTTTCTATGTATTAGGTAGGTCTGCTTTGTCTCCCAGACTTGGCAGAGTGGCCTTATGTAGCAGGTGTCCTGTGAGGACCAGTGGAGCAGTCTCCTTATTCACCTGAGCTGGGCAGGAGTGTCCCTTATGTGGGTTGTGTTTGCTCTCCTGTTGTAGTTGAGCCTGATTGCTGTTGGCATGTCAGTAGGTGAGATCGACCCTCAGGCTGACTGGCCACGACTACAGAAAAGCTGTAGGGGCTGACCCCAGGAGCAGGAGTTGCTTTAGCAGATCTCTTGTGCCAGCCAAGTCTGCTCGTCCCGTGTGTAGTTTGTGGAACTGACTGGGTGGTACTTTGGTGTGGTCTGAAGCTGGCCACTGGCTGTGTTGGTTCTGGAGGCTCTTGGGAAGGGCTCTGGTGCAGGCCAACATCAGCCGCCATCTGTGCCTAGCTTGGGGCTGCCTAATGGGAGCTACAAAGTGATTTGCGATTGGTTGCTGCTTGTGCTGGGCTTGGGGGCACCCAGGAGAGGCTAAGCTGCGAACTGAGGCCAGCTGCCATAGTGCCATATTGTGGCCACTTAGTTGAAGCTACACTCCAGGCCAGCATGGGCTGCAGCTTATGCCAGGCTTGGGCCACATAATGGGAGCTACAGGGCACACCAAGACCAGCTGCTGTTTGTTTGGGTTTCTGGACCTTTGGGAGATTTATGAAAGTTTGCAGCAAGGACAGCTGCTTTTGTGGAAAAGTCACTGGAAGCGGCTTAGGTTGGCTATGAGTTGGTTGGGGCAAACAGTGTTGGCCAGGTTAATGGAGAGCTCAGATTTGGCACCCGCCTCCCACCTCGCTGGCTGGGTGTGGGACTTGCCCTCTCCTACCAGTCTCGTCATGGCTGCTTCTGTATATCCTTAGTTATAGGACTTCTGTTCTGTTTCCTCTTCTTCAGGCGATTCTCTAATTTAGGTATAATTTGATGTGATCGTGGGGGAAGATGAGCACAGCATTTAACTACTCTGCCATCTTGACTGGAAGTCATTTTCCACCCATTTTTGGCCCTGCTTTAGCATGCAATGGTCCTCCCGTTATTCTTCTGCCACCTCAGCACAGCCCATTGCAGACTCCCAAGCATTGACTGACTAGATGATTAAACATCTCGAAGTTAACTCCCTACCCTTACTGTTGAGACCTGACAAGCTAAATGCCCTCTGCCTTGGCCTTTAGATTGGGAAGAAGAAAGAGTAGGATCAGCCCTAAAGAAAAATTTTGAGTTGGCAAGTGCTGTTTTGTCCTCTCTCTCACTGCTGGTTTCCTCCCACCTCAAAGTTTTGTTTATTCAGTAGTCCCAGTTTATCTTAGTCACTTTGTTTCCCTGTTTTTCCTCTCCCGCCCTGAGAAAGCAGTACGAGTTAGTCAAGGTGACAGGAAAACGGTCTTGTGAGCAATGCTCTAATACTGAGCACAGAGCACTGGTCCCCTCCTTGGCATTTACTAGGAGTTTCTGTATCTTACAAACTGCGAGAGTTTCCGTCTGCTGCTTCATCTTAGGGCCCAAGTGGCCTATCTACTTCCTTTTTCTTTCTGGAAGGGGCTGTTCCCCGCTTGGCTTGGTCCTGAGTAGCACTTTCCCTAAAGTCAAACCTCTTGGACCTCGGGGAAGGCTTATCCCAAAGTACAACAAAATGACCATTGACTATAGAGATTAAGCACACCCGCTCCAGAGCCAGACTTCCGGGGCGCAGTCCTGGCTCTCCCACTTGCCAGCTGGCTGACTTTAGGCAGATACTTAAGCTCTCTGTTTCCCCATCTGCAATGGGCACGAGTGTTTAACTGTGTTTTTTCCCTGTACTATTTTCTATTTCTAAACAATATTTTAAGCAAAAATAATAAGTCCTCACAGTAGAAGTATGTCCCCTGCTCTATTACTCTAGAGCAGCGGTTCTCAACCTGTGGGTCGCGACCCCTTTGGGGGTCGAACGACCCTTTCACAGGGGTCGCCTAAGACCGTCGGAAAACACATATATAATTACATATTGTTTTTGTGATTAATCACTATGCTTTAATTATGTTCAATTTGTAAATGAAATTGGAGGTCACCACAACATGAGGAACTGTATTAAGGGGTCGCGGCATTAGGAAGGTTGAGAACCACTGCTCTAGAGCAAGCATGTCAAACTCAAAGGCTAACACGGGCCAAATAAACAAGGTTTAGGTTTAAGTTTATGTGGGCCACAAAAAAACAAAAGCTTCAGTTTTCATAGAAACATGCTGAATACACAGGGCTGAAATAAATGAGCAATCGTTAACATAATAGAACATTTTAGTAAAATATTTTTTCTTGAACATTAACTTACCAGGCACTGAATAACTGCACAAATTAATAACGCAAATAAACCTATTTTTCTGGTTCTCCGAAAGCGAAATATTTCCTGTTGCGCACACCAAACAAGTTAGTCCAAGACTAATGACGTGGCAATCGGCTGCTAAAATATTCACTGCTAGTATTAGTGGAGAGAAATGGTGCACGTAAGGCACATAAGAGAAATGAATGCAACACGATCATAGTAATCAGTCATTAGTGAATGTTGTAGTTTGGTAATTATGTATAACAGGATATTGTAAAAATTAAGTTATGAAATTTGTATTAAACTGTTTCTTACATACCGTTATATTGGCTGGGCCGCATGCCCACGAGTTTGACATGCTTGCTCTAGAGGGTGACTGGCTCAAGCACCACCCCCGCCCTAATGCTAACACTAATTTCAGTGTTCGCCACCAAACCGTGACTAGGGCAAGGTGAAACCCCACCCCCCAAAGAAAAAATGGCTGCAGCCTAATCCATGGAATGAATACAGTTAGGAGGGAGGCCACTTCTAGTAAAGAAAGATGCCCCCAAAATATCTAAGATTAGCAACACGGTAGTCCAGCACGGGTGGGAGAAAAGTGGCCAACGGAGGCCATAGTGCTGTTTCCAAGAGGCAGGTCACAGCAGACCTTTCAGCATGGAGTCCCACCAGCCTTCAAGCAAGTTTCCCATACAGACGTATCTACAGAATCACGACCGTCAGGGTCCTCCTAACGGCTCTCTGTCAAATAAATCTGTATTCTGGTTTGTCTCAAGTCTGGTAAGCTTGGTTATTATGTAGACAAGAGATGGGTTTGCTGGGCATCATTGGAGGCGGGAAGTAGCTCCTGCAGTAGGAGGCTGTCACCAAGTATCTGAGCACCTGGTGCTGCCAAGACCTGTGCTGGACTCCGGGGACATGGGTCCAGGTCGCTGTTCTAAGGAGCTCACAAACTGGAGGCCAAGTGTTAGTCCAACTCCCTAAGCAACACTTCTACCAGACTTTCAGCCCCTAGCACTGACCAGTCCCCACCCTCATTCTGGCAGCCAGGCGCGTGCCCCCCTCACGTTCTTCCCAGCCCCGGGCACAGCCCTGCTGCTCAGTGAGCCCAGATGGAGGGTACATGGAGGGCACACTGGGCGCAGGACACAGATCACCATCCTCCCCACCCTAGCCCCCCGCCCCTCTGGCTTATTTGAACACACAGCTCCTGTGAGATTGAAGATTAAACCACAAGCTGTTTCATCAATTCTGAGATGCACTTATTTTCATATTTTAACACCTGTCAAATTGGACTGCAAATTAATTAATGGTGTCTTAGCATTGAATTAGCCTTTTTTTCCTTAGTGGTATGAAAATGCATCTTAAAACATGGTATTTAGATTTAATAACAACTTAGAGCAAGAGCTAGAGAATATAAGGCTGACATATCAACTTACTAAATAACGCAAGGAAAATTCTGCCCACTTATAGGTGTAATAGTTTAGTGAAAAGAACATTAAGTATGAGGATTAGCGCCATCTTGGCCACAAATCTGTTGCATGACCTGTGGCAGCATCCCTGGAGCTCTCCCGCTGAGTGTCTCGCTTGTAAGATGGCGGCACTAATCCCTGCCTTTCCTTTCTGGGCATATGATCAAAGGCCTTACAGGCACTTTCCAGGCACTTTCCAATCGTAGGACCATGTTTTGCCGCCCTAATTAGAATGGACAGATTTTAATGACCTGCCTTAAGTATTATAAACTTCCAGTCCTGTTTCTCAAAATAAAACCAGTAAGTCTAAAAAATGATGTATAGCATCATCTATTAAGCTATTAGCAGATGCCTGTCATCCACTTATTTCCTTCATCCTCACTATAGCCTGTCGGGCCGTGAGGAGAGGAAGGCTCAGGGGGCCAAGCCCCTGCCCGAGTCACACTTCCAGGAACTGGCAGAGTGAGTCAGGACTCGGACCAGAGTTCCCGGGACCGCAGAGGCTGCTCGGGAACAAGCAGCCTTTCCTACCTGGTGGGACCACCTTCACCTCAGTGCTGCGGCTGACTGCCTGGCTGCCACGGTAGGTGCTGCACGTGTAGGAGCCCTGGTCCCCGGCCCGCAGGTTGTGGATCAGCAAAGTACCATCTGGAGACTGGTGGACACGGTGGCCATCGGCCCGTATCGGCAGCCCGTTCCTGGAGGGGAGAGGACGTGAGAGCTGTCCAGGGCCAAGAGGCAGGGGGGGGGAGGCAATCCAAGACCATTCCAGAGTCAGCTGCTCCCTCTTTGTGGACAGACAGCTGGCCCTCACCTCACAGAAGAGGTGGGACGGTACCCAACAGACAGGACATTATCAAAGCGAAAGAACTCAAAAAGTGACACACACACCAACCGAGCACAGCGCTGAGGGCTGTGACTGTGCCTCCGCCCCACAGGAACCACACTCCATTAACAAGGGACGCAGGCAGCCAGGAGGTGCTGGGCCCTGTGCTGGATGAAGCACATCAGCATTCCCCACCCCCAGGCACTGGGGTCGGGGTGCAGGTGTTGGGGGAGACTGGCCTGAGGATGAGGAGGCTGCCCCTGGCTGAGGAGAGGGCAGCATGGGGACTCGGGAGCTTGGAGGAAGGCCGTGCCGGGGCGCGGCTCTGGTCAGGAGAGTGGACTGGATCCAGGGGGTAACAGGACTGACATGGTATCTACTTTGAAAGGGTCTCTGACTGCAGTGGAGGCTGGGGGACAAGCCTGAAAACAGACCAGGTCAGAGGCTGCTGCACAGGTAGATGACACGGGCAATAAAGGACTGGGAGGAGGGTCAGGTGTGGGAGAGGAGAAATGGAGGAGGATAGCGGTTTCTAGGCTGGGGTGCTGGGTGATGGCGGTGCCCCTCCACCATGGGAGACCCAAGACAGTGATGAGGGGTGAACGGTGAGGTTATTGTCCACCATTTTGCATTCGGGTGCCTGTGAGATACCAGGAGGCATCGGGTTTGAGGTCGGGACCCAGGTCATGCATCACCACTGGGTGGTCCGGAAACGTGTGTCTGCATGTTTGCCGAAGGCGACGTTAGATAAACCGAGGACCAAGGCCAGACCTTGAGGGCCATTGGCTCCTAAGGGGTGGCTATGAGGCGATGAGCCAGCGGGAAAGAAGCAGGAAGGGCACAGGCCGTGTGGGGATTGGGATGTGTCCAGAGGATTTAGGAGCAGGGAAGTAGCTGGGGGCCTTGGCCAGGGGTGGAGGTGAGGCCCCCGTTCGAGGGCTGCGTGGGTGGACAGGTGGAGACATGCTATAAACAGAGGTGCTGTGAAGAGGAAACTGCTCAAAGACCCGGATTCAGGGAAACACGGGGAGTCCTGAGCGTGTCCCCACTGGGAAGAGCCGGGGGAGGCAAAGGTGAAGGTACAAGCCTCGTCCAGGGTGAGGGCCATTCCTGTCCTGGGATCACCCTTCACTTGACGAAGAACATCCTTCCCCTCCTCAGCCTCCAAGGCCCAGCCAGTCACCACATGGCCGCCCCTTCCTGATTCTCCCAGCGGGGAGTCGGCCTCGCTCTGCAGTGCGCAGACAGCGCTCAGGGGCGCTGGGCATCTCCCGCCTGAGGGTTTCTGGGGGCTCTGAGGATCCGGGATCCCCAAAGCCAGTCTACTCAACTCTGCGAGGAGGAGGAAGGCAAAAGGTGTGCGCTGGATGAGCGAATCGGACCCGCAAGTCCTAAAAAGGCTACTGAAGTCCCCAAAGCTGAGTGTGGCCCAGTGGTTCTCAACCCCAGGGAAGATTTGGGCAACATTTGGAGACATTTTTTATTGTCATGACCTGTGAGGAGGTGCTACTGGCACCTAGTGGGCGATGGCCTAGAATCTAGACCAGTGATGGCGAACCTTTTGAGCTCGGCGTGTCAGCATTTTGAAAAACCCTAACTTAACTCTGGTGCCGTGTCACATATAGAAATTTTTTGATATTTGCAACCATAGTAAAACAAAGACTTACATTTTTGATATTTATTTTATATATTTAAATGCCATTTAACAAAGAAAAATCAACCAAAAAAATGAGTTCGCGTGTCACCTCTGACACGTGTGTCATAGGTTCGCCATCACTGAGCTAGATGATGCTAGACATCCGACTGCACAGGATAGCCCAAAATTATCGGGTCCAAGTTGGCACCAGTGCCGGAGCTGAGAAACCCTGGTATGGCCCAGCTAAGAGAAGAGAGCCGTCCTATGGGGCCTCACTGTGTAGGCACCAGGCCTGGCGGCAGGAGTGGGAGAAGGGGGTGGGGACGGCAGGGACAGCAGCATCCTGCAGAGAGGTGGACCGCCTGTGCTCGGGCTGTGCAGCCTCGGGTGTGGGTCTGGAACGGAGCCTTACCGGGACCATCTGATGTTCACACTTTCTCCTGCCACCACGCACAGCAGCCTGGCCGTGTCACCTTCTGGCACCGTCACCGTAGAGGGCAGCCCTGTGATCGTCAGCTCCCCTGGGCCCAAGGAGGGGGCACCGTTAGCCACTATGCCGAGCCTGCCCAACCTGTGCCACCTGCCCTCCCAGGCCACTGGCCCCAGTCACCCTTCCATTCCACCCTCCCACTGCACCTTACCCAGAACTCTGAGCTGGACCCAACGCTGGTCTCGGTCCTGCCCATTGAAGGCGACACAGGCGTAGAAGCCACCATCTTCCACAGCCACTTGGCTGATGACCAGAGAGCCATCGGGCAGCTGCTGGTGTCTGGGGAACCAAGCAGAGTTGGGGGCTCCAGCCCTTGCAGATGGAGACGGGGGGGGGGTCTTCCTTTCCAGGTGGGAGTGGGTCTGACAGGGCCAGTGGGCAGCCAGCTGCCAGCACTCTCATTCACTCGAAGGTGCCTGACTCCTAACCCCGGCAATAAATCGTTTCACGTTTTCTGACACAAATAATGTGTTTCCAGTTTTTGCTCCACTCATTTAGTGGGCTCACATCCTGGTCCTGCCACTGAGAGCTGTGTGGTGTTGAGCTTCTGTGTGAAAATGGAGTAGAATTATGTGGCTCTTCTGCAGACTGTGGTGGAGACCGGCCTCACGCTCACGTGGGGCCACGTTAGCCGTTGTGACAGCCAGGACTGTGCCTGCCTCCTTCCTCCCCCAGCCACCGCCTGTTCGCTGCCCTGTTCCTCTGTCCACTGACTGCTCTGCAAAGGCCCAAGGAGCCCTCTGCCCAGCAGCTCCATCTCGAGAGCCCCTGACTGGCCAGTGACTGCTGGCAGCTCCTTCCCCCGCGGGCCTGCACAGGGTGGGGTGGGGCCGGCAGGGCGGGGAGAGGCGCTGACCAGACCTGGGAGAAGAGAGGGTCTGCCCATCTCTCTGCCATTCGATGGTTGGGGGTGGGAAGCCCTCAGAGGGACAGGTCAACCGGATCCGCTGGCCGGGATGGGCGTCCACCACCCCGGGCTGGCTCTGGTCCAGGCGCAGCCTGCAGAACAAGCACCCACAGCCCTGAGGGCCCCTGCTGCTGCCCCCCTGCCCCCCCCATTCCCATCCATGCATGGGGTCGGGACCTCTGCGCAAGCCTCATGGCCCCTCCTTCTCCAGCCAGACTGAGCTTCCTAAAACCACCCCTCTGTTCTGCTAAGGGCCCATCAACAACTACTGGGGCGAAGTCCAATGGCCAGCTCCCCTTCCTCCCCCCTCCCCCCAGACTCTCAGACTGTCTCCTCCGCACCCCACACATCTGACTCGAGGTTGTTGGCCTGGGTTCCCTTTAGCCCCCCGCACCCCCTGCAAACCGTGCTCTTCTTCAAAGCTGTCCTGGGCCCTGACCCTGACTCTCTTCCCTTCCCGCAGCTCCTGAGTCCTGAGCCACAGCCCTGCCCTGTTCCCACTGTTCCTCCTCAAGAGGCTGAGCTCAGGAGCCATGCTTTTCTAGTTCTCACCTTGCAGAGCCCTGAGCAGGGGCCAGCCAGCCTGGTCACACCAGCCTGGGGACCCGTTCGCCTTCCCTTCCCCCATCCACTGATCTCCACGGACCCTGGACCTCATGGGGGAGGCATTGCTGCCCTGTTACCTGGTCGAAGGCCCTGGGTGAGGAGAGGAGATGGCCCCCAGGCCCCCAGCATCCCTCCCTAGGCTGGAGTCCTGAGGACGGTGGCCCGGGGCGGGGTCCCTGGTCTGAGGGAAGTGCCTTGGCACGGTCACGTCACCCCCTGTCATGAGGCCAGGAGGAGGAAGGAGTGAGCTGGGGGGGCGGGGGGGTCGGCCATGAGGCCAGGGTGTGAACGTGGAGAAATGAGGGCCACGAGGAGCAAGCCCTCCACCCCAGCCACCTGAGTCCATGGTCCCTGCCCGGCATGCCTGGGCCCAGGGGTGCCCGGCTCAGGCCCTCTCAGCCAGTCCCTTCCCCCCTGGGGCCCTTGAGACCCATTGGGGGAGGACAGAGACCTGTAATGCGGAAGCTGGATCTTCGGAGAGTCACGGCCTGGCCTGGCGCCACAGCTGTAGGTGCCAGCGTCCTCTGCCCTCAGGGGGCTGATGACCAGGGAGCCATCAGGCTGCGGCCTGTGTCTGAGTGAGTGGAACGGGGGCTTGAGCTCTGGGCTCCTGAGGGCAGCAACGAGCCCGACGCCCCTCAGGCCTCAGTGCTCCACCGGAGGGGACCGTAGCCCCCGCTCACCCCCCATCCCAGGGGAATCCGAGGGGCTGCCCTGGGGAGGATCCCACACACACCTGTCAGAGAGGGGCTGCCCGTCCTTCTGCCACCTGGTAGGGGGGTCCATGGAGGCGACACCCGGGCAGAAGAGCCGCACCTCCCGCCCCAGGGGCGCCTGCACCAGAAAGGGCTCCGTGCCGGCCAGGCTCACCCTGGAAAGGTGGGCGGTGAGGACCTGTCCTACTGGCACACCTGCCACGACCAGGGCCCCTTCGTCAGTGTGGCCCATCCCGTCACGGGCACGTGCGGGGCCAGCGGGCGTCCTGGGAGGCCAAGCTCCAGAAGCCCATGGACTCGGGAATCTGCCCTCCCATCCTCCCCCCGAGCCCAAGCACTGCCCCTCGGCCTGGCCCTGACAGCAGCAGGGGCGGCTCAAAGCCCAGGCGTGGAGAGGGCGGGAAGCCGCCAGGCCAGAGTCCCGTGAGGACCAACACGCTCCTGCTGCATTTTGTTTTTAATCTTCCCAAATCTCTCCTTACTATGACACAGTCCCAAGAGCAGTGAATAAGTGGAGCCCACCCTGACTGTGAGCCAGTGTCACCATTTCACAGGCAAGTCATGAAGCCCAACTAGACAGACCCTGGGGACACTGGCAAGGTCCGCTGGCGAATCCGGGCACCGCCAGCTCCTGGCTGCCTGCGCGTCCCCAGGTGTCGAGGCCTCCAGGCGGGATGGGGAGGGAGGGCCTGCTGGCCTCGGGGTTTTAGATCCAACGGCTCGGCCCCTGGCCCGGGTCCCTCTCCCCGTCCCTGGGAAAGGCGAGGCTCACCTGGAGGAGGAGCTGTGGGAGGGGGGTGCTGGCCGCCCAGCATCTCCGCCCAGCCCAGGGGTGCTGGACCCCAGCTCCGGGCCCCAGGGCCGTTCTCCTGAGGTCTGGGGGTGGTGCACGGCCCCGGGCCTGTGCTGGCCGGCCTCCCGCTGGCCTCCCGGACTGCTGCCACCACCAGCTCTGTGGGTGCTCTGGCCAGCGGCCCCGGGCTCGGGTTGGCGGGGCGCGTGTTGAGCCCCCCGGCAGCTGCTCATGCACTCCTCCTCCGAGGCAAAGTTGTTGGCGTTGCCGTGGCAGCCGCCGTACCAGAAGCGGTTACACCGGCCCACAGAGGCGATGAAGTACCAGCGGGGGCCCAGTCTGTGCAGGAGCCGAGGGCGCTGGGCAGCAGGCACCCCACGGGGTATGCTGAGGGCAGGAGCACGCATGTCACTCAGGCGGCAACGCGGCCCAGCAGAGCCCTGCCCAGAACTACCCACATCCCCTCGGAGACAGGAGCCCTTCCCGTCTATGGAGCAGCCTTCGCCCCTGCCCGGGACCTCACCCGGCCCTCACCCGGCCCTCACCCGGCCCTGGGGCAGAGTCTGTTCCCTGACCTGCCCTGGGCACAGAGCAGCCTCCGCAATCAGCCCGGCCACCTCCACCCACAGAACCAGAGCCTTATAGAGAGTCAGGCCTGGGAGCTCCCGGGACCGGCTCCCCCACGCCCCTCCCATCCCTGACCAGGCCCATGGAGTCCACACCCAGAGCAACCCGAGGGCTTGACCCAGCCCTGAGCTCCAGGAGCCTGTGCAGGTGCCACCGAGGGGCCACCCTGTGCCCAGGCCCCTTCGCCAGCCTCTGAAGATGCCTCCAGCCCCACCTGCCTATGCTAGCAGCCTCCCCGCCCAGCACAGCCGGCTCCACTCTCCACGTTCAGACGTGACCGTGGCTGGCCCCTGCCTAAAGCCTCCTGCAGGCCCTGACCCCCAGCCTGCCTGGCCTTCAGCATCTCCGTGTGGGTCCCCAGAATCTCCATCCATGCATCCCTTGCTCCAGCCTCAATACCTCCTTCCAGGACTCGCCCGACAGGGCAGGGACACCCCATCCACCGGCACTGACCTACACCACCCCTGCCTCCTCTGTGGGATCCTCTCCCCCACCCCCATGGCAGCCAGGCGGCCTCAAGTGCAAACCGCTGGGAATGAGAACAGTCTGCTGTTCCCTGGCCTGGCATCTAGGAGGCGGTCGGCATATCCTGGTGGAAGAATGAATGAACCACTGAGCCCAGGAAGGTCGTTGGCGTTGAGTGGGGGCCAGAGCTGCCCACCGGGCTGAGGAAGGGCATCCACTCACCGTAGCTGGGCTGGCCCACACAGCCTTCCCCAAAAGGGCCTGCTGCCGAGGCCACGTTGTCATAGCAACAGCCAAACTGGGAGCCCCGGCACTCAGTGGGCTCACTCTGCTGGGCCTGGGGCTGGTGGGCCTGGGGCACCTGGGGAAGAAGCTGGGAACAGATCAGGTTCCTGGTGGGCTCTCGGGGGCCCGGGAGAGGATGGCAGGGAGCGGGAGAGACAATTGTGAGCCCCCAGTGCAGAACCCAGCCCTGGGGGGAGATCAGAGGCCCGAGAACAGCAGACGAAACCCCCAGCCCCAGGCCATCTCTGAAGCTTGTGTCCTCGAGAGGACGACCCAGGCCTACAGGCTTCAGAGACCTCCTCCCTCCAAGGCCAGAGCCGCACCGTGGCACAGAGCAGGTTCCGGGCTGGGCTCCCGCCCACACGTGAACGGGACACTCACTGTGGAGGCCACTGCTCTCGACCCCGACCTCCTCCTGTCGTCGCCGTTAGACTTTGCACAGCCAGCTTGATGGGGCCCCTCAGCCACAGACACCCCGTCAGGGCAGCACCCATACCTAGGCAGACATCACAGCCCTCTCCTCACCACCTAGTCCCTTCCAGGGACCCTGAGCTCCCAGCACCCCGGACTCCCTGCACCGGGGGCCGACCAGGGGAGGGTCCAGTAGGAGAGGCCGCGTCCCTGAATGCAAGGCATCCCATCGCGCATACCTACCCCAGACTCGGCGTCTACCAGCCACTGAGCGGCCAGCAGGGAGGGCAACACTGACACAGTAAGCAGAGGTGCAGCCCTGATAACTGGCAAATCCTCAACTCACACATCCCACCACCAGAGCGAGGAGGGGAGTGAGCCGGGCCTGCCGGCACTCGTTTCTCCCCACAGCCAGGACTTGGGAGGGAAGGTGAAAGGAAGATCGGAGCAGAGCACCGTCCCTGTGCCAGGCACTGTGGGACCGGTCTCATCCTCAGTCACCCCAGTTAATGGCTGTGACTGTCCAGTTCTCAGCAGAGGAAGCCAAGATCAGAGAGGTGAAGTCACTTGTCCCAGTCACCCAGCACACAGCTAATAAGCGGCTGAGCTGGGAGTCACCCCCAGGCCGCTGGCCCCAAAGTCTGGGTCCTTAGTACCTTAGCCCTGAGGGAGTGGGGGCCTGGTTTGGACTGAAAGCTGATACCCAACCCCATGTGCCTCCCAGAGCCTCAGGCGACAGCTCCAAGCTAGCCTCTGCAGAGGAAGCAGGCCTTCCACCCCCACCCGCACGCACAGCACAAGGAAGCGCAGCCAGAGGAGGCAGTCAGGCTGCAACCACCTCTGTGGTCCCATTCCTGGGCTCGGCAAACCACCCACCCTCTCTGAGAGGCTGTCCTGCCCGCCCCCCCATTCCCTACACACACACACACACACACACACACACACACACACACACACACGCCTCTCTGACCTGGTGAGGAGGAAGAGGCACCTACCTGCTCTGCTGACAAGAGGCCCCGGGGCAGCCTTGCCACTGCGGCCCCAGAGAGGCCGTGTGGCCATCGGGGCAGCACCCGTGGGGGCTGTGCCTGCAGTCCTGGGGCTCCGAGCCAGACCACAGGGGCTGCTGTTCTGGGGACGGCTGCAGAGAAGAGGCTGGGCGTGGGGCTGGCAGGTGGGGTCCTGGTCTTCTCTGGGGTTACCCAGAGTTGAGGGTTGCTCCGGGGTGGCCCACCACTGGTCTCTGGATCTAGAAAGACGAGGAAGCAAAGACACATGATGTGTCCACATCAGACCCCCTTCTCTGCATCCCTCCTAAGCCACTCACCCCTACCCCCGACCTCCACCTCCCGGGCCCTGGGTCGGGGGCTTCTGCCAAGCTTCTCACCCAAAGCGGGGGCCTCCCGAGGGCCCAAAGACATCCAGGGGGCCCTGAAGCTGGTGTGCACGTCCTGCCCGCTGGGGGCTTCTGGGGAGCCGGCTGCCGGGGTGGGATGCAGAGGGTGGAGGAGAGGAGCGGCGTGAGCCATGGCCCGCCCTGACCGGCATCTGCTCCCACCCGCTGGTCAGGCAGGCCGGGGGGACCCAGCACAGCGGATGGGAAATGAGTGGTGCCTGTGATTTCATAAGACACCTGTCCCACGTCTTACAAGAGCCTTTAATCACATAGAAAATGCTAATATTACGTGTTCAGCAAAAAGGAAGCCAGATATAAAGTTAGCATCTGTTTGATCCCAACTATAAAAGAAAGACAAAAAGTCATACACAATTTTTTAAAATTGGATTGTTGAAAGAACAAATAACCCAATTTAAAAACGAACAATGAAATTGAACAGGCATTTCCCCAAAGATATGCAAATGGCCAAAAAGCACATGAGATATTCAACATCATTGGTCATCAGGAAATGCTAAACACAGCCGAGATGAGACGCTGCTTCGCATCCACTAGGATGGCTCTAATAAAAGAAACCTGAATAGCCTGGCCGGTGTTTCTGTCTCTTTCCCTCTCTCTTCCATTTCCTCTAGAATCAATAAGAATATATGTATATATTTTAATCTGAATAATAACTGTTGGTGAAGATGTGGACAGACTGGCCTGTCCTCACTGCTGGCGGGAATGTAAAACGGTGCAGCCACTGTGGTGACAGTCTGGCAGTTCCTCAAGAAGTTAAACGTTGGAATTACCATAGAGTCCATCAATCCCACTCCTAGGTACAACCCGAGAGAAATGAAAACCTATGTCCACACAGAAACATGTACGTGAATGCTTGCAGCAGCACTACCCGATACGGCCAAAGGTGGCAATAACCCAAGTATCCATCAGCAGATGAACGGGTAGACAAATGGTGGTGTATCCATAGAAGAGTTATTCAGCCATAAAAAGCAATGGCATTGGGGTGGGAGGGAAGAGACTAACCGAAGACTTACATGCATATATGCACAGCCCATGGACACAGACAATAGTGTGGTGAAGGCCTGGGAGGGGCTGGGGGCTGGTTGGAGGGGAGTAGAGGGGGGGGATATGGGTGACATCTGTAATACTGTCAATAAGAAAAAAAATAAATTAAAAAATAAAAAGCAATGGCGTGCTGGTGCATGCTACAACTTGGTGCACCTCCGAAGCATTCTGCCAAGTGAAAGAAGCCAGGCACTAAAGGTGTACGGATCCTTTCCCATGATACAGTCCAGGGTGGGCAAACCCACAAAGACAGAAAGCAGATCAGGTTACTGGGGAGCATGGGGTTCACAGGAAGTGATGACTCAGCGTGTCCACCGCGCTCTCTGGCGCGAGGAACATTCCTGAAACCAGGGGAGAGCTGGTGGCTGAGCAACACTGTGAGTCCACCGAACAGCACCGAGTCAAACACTTTAAATGTTTAACCGTATGTTATGTGAATTTACCTCAGTAAAAAGAGTCCGTATTAAAAGTAATTGGGTTGCTCGAGGGAAGAGTAGAAAGAGAATAATGAAAAGCAGCCCGGTCCGGGGCACCTGCCCGGGTTGTGGGCTCATCCCAGTGTGGGGCGTGCGGGAGGCAGCCGGTCAATGATTCTCTCTCTCATCATGGGTGTTTCTCTCTCTCCCTCTCCCTTCCTCTCTGAAATTAAAAAATATTTTTTAACAGGAAAAAGAAAATATAACAAAACATTACTTGTAGAATTTACAAGGTGGGTACACGGCGCCTCACTATACAGTTCTAATTTCCATATTTAAAATTTTCCCTTGTCTTGTTCAGCTGGGTAAATTTGCTAAAAATCATGAATTGTATCATTAGAATGGGTGGATGTTATGGCTTATTACATTCAATCACCATGACAGTTATTCAAAATGTTTTTCATTATAAAATGTTGGAGAAAAATGCAAAAGACTAAGAAAACGGAAATTTTTTAAAATGATGAATAAAATGAGACAGAACACACCCAAACGCTCAGAGTGAACGTTTCTAAGGGCTTCGTGGGTGCGTGTGTGTGCGGGCATGTGCGCTGGGTGGGATGGGGAGGGGGCCCTTTCTTCTATTTGTTAGCATTTTTCAAATTTTCCACAATAAGCACATTTTTACACAATGGAAGAAAATTAAAAAAGCAAGTGAAAATTCCATTCCCATGTGGACTGCATCTTGCCAGTCCCCAGGGAATATTTACAAAATAATAAGTCAGGGTTGGAAGACTTCAGTAGACATGCAGTAAAATCTTTGTTTTCGTGTTATTGCCCTCCCACCCAGGCCCAAACCTCTCTCCGGACTCAAATTCTCCCTCCAGTTCTGTCACTCCCCCCTCCCCCCCCACACACACACACACATTCTCTCAGACCGAATTCCCAGTCCCCAGCCAGCCTGGGACTCTGCCTGCTGTCCTGCCAGCTCCAGGCGAGAGGCACCCGTCTGCCAAGCCCACCCTGCCTCCGCTTCCCCTGTGGACTCTCCCCATCCATCTGTTCGGGCTTCCCCTAGAGCCCGGGACCCCTCCCCACACACCGTCTGGGTCAGGCTCTGCTGGGCCAGCACCTGCCCCTTCACTTCTATTGCTTTCATAGCACTGGAATGTCTGCGGCCTGCTCCCCACCGGCTCCTGCCTCCCAGCTGTCACCCCGTCAGTCTGACCCTCGGGCAGGTGCCCAGTTTGTCCTCCCCAACAGCTTTCATGGCGTCACGGCTTCCTCCAGAACTTTCCATGGCTCCCGTGGGCTCTCCTGACCAAATAATCTGAGCCCTGAGCAGCCCGCAGCCTGAGACCTCCCGTCGCCACCCTCGCACCCTGGGCTGAGGGCAGAGTACTGAGCACTTGGGATGTGGCCAGAGTGATGGAGAACCTGAGTTTGACATTCTTTCATCAGGATTCATTTCATCTTAAATTTAAATACTGACGCTTGATTCATTTATAGGAAAACACCTCAGTATGTTTGGAACAACTTGGATAGTCAATCTACTCTTTCGACTGCACATTTTATGAAACCTAAACATTGATCGCCTATGCCAGTGAAATGTTAGCATCCGAACGGAGCTGTGCTGTAAGTGCAAATTATATATTGAATTCTGAAGATTTATTTTTTTTAAAAATCTCGTGTAGAAAGAATACAAAAATGTCCCCTTCATAATTTTTATTTGAATTGCATGTTAAGTAAAATATGTTATTAAGTATAAGTTTACTTATTTCTTTTTATATTTTTAATGTGGGTCTCAGAAAACGTCTAACGCCGTCTGTGGCTGGCGTTCTATTTCCATTGGCGAGCACTGCTCTGGAGTCTAGAAAGAGGAGGAAGCAGAGGCTGCCGGGCGTCCACTCAGGCACCCACCCTCATGGGCCTCCTCCTTTGACCTCTGACCTCCGCCTGGGCATCCGCTGTCTGCACTACAGCATCAGTTACAGCAACGGGAACCCCGCAATTCCCCACTCTCGCCATGAGCATCTATGAAGCTCCTAGAAATCATGAGACTGGAAAAATGGTCACAAACCAAATGGCCCTAAAGGGGAAAAGCAGACACAAAGCCACACACGTCACTAGGAAGTACGCGAAGCCGCTGCTGGGCGGGATCAGAGGCGACCTAAGCTTCTCTACATAAACTGTTTCTCTAATTTCTCCAGATTCTCCACCATGAGCGCACACCACAACCACCACTGTGCCGGGTGGGAGGGGCAGGCTGGGAGAGGACAATGCGGGGGAGGGGACACATGTAATACTTTCACCAAGAAAGAACTTTTAAAAAATCATCGTGGAGGTTATTTCTCTAACAACCCAGCCTGGCCTGGAAGTCTCCCTCCGCTTCCTTCCCTTCTGCCGTGTGAATGCCTCTCGGAGGCTCAGGGCCCCCCTGCAGGAAGGTGTCCAGGGCCCTGGGGCCCTGAGTGGCTCTAGGGAGCTGGATCATAGGAGCCCGAGGGGCCTCCTGCTCATGCATCTCAAGGGCCAGGCTGAGGCCGGAGCCTCTCCGCCACCACGGCCCATGCTTTGCTCCTCGAGCTCCTCGAGCACTACTGCGCAGGCGCTGTGCCACGCAACTCCCCACAGCCTGGAAAGTCCCTCTTACCAACCCCGTTACACAGATGGGCAAACAGTCAGAGAGGAGGGGCAGTTGCCCAGGCCGCATGGTTGGTCGGCAATGGAGTGGAGATTTGAACCCAGTCCAGGTTAGCTGTGGACTCCAGGCCACTGGTTCTTGGCCTCCATGGAATCCTACCGCTCCTCATCACAGCTCACGGGGTCCCCATCACAGTTCACGGGGTCCCCAGCACGGCTCACGGGGTCCCCATTACAGCTCACGGGGCCCCCATCACAGCTCACAGGGTCCCCATTACAGCTCACGGGGTCCCCATTACAGCTCCCGGGGTCCCCATCACTGCTCACGGGGTCCCCATCTCGGCTCACGGGGTTCCCATCACAGCTCACGGGGTTCCCAGCACGGCTCAC